TTAAAAATCCCCAACTGAAAATAAAATAAAATTGTTGATTGTTTAAAATATTTTTTCGATTTAAAATTGGCCACCCTTCAATTTTTTTGTCCTAGGTCAAAATCCATGCCAGGGTATAACATTTATTTTATTTTACCAATAAAATATTTATGTATAATATTATTAATATTAAAATATAAATATGTTGTTTGGTAAAAGCTCGAAAAAATAAATGAATTAGGCCACCAGTGTCAGCAAACTAATAGTATTGGCCTACGTTCTGGTTTCGACCGTAACATAATATCTATATATATTGAAGAAATTCTTTGAAAATTAATCTTATAACTTTCTAAGATCGATAATTGATATAATGACATTATAAATAACTCAAAATCTTAATTTAAACGTAAATTCGAATTACGGATTAGAATAGCTTAAAAAATAAAAATGAATAATTACGAGTATAATATTTATAGTAATTAAATATTTCTCCTCTAACTATATTTATGTACCTAACTTACTATTTTTTCAGGTGAAATACATCTATATCTAAGTAACTTAATGTTATTAATTGTTAATATACTTTTTTTAGTTAAAAAATATATTTTTTTGAAGTAAATTTCGCGCAATTAATTATATTATATTTCTATAAAATAACATTATCACCTTTGTATATTAACCATTTCAATATACACATATACATGTATGATATATTATATATTTATACATAAATAACTTAGTTTCATTAGTGTGTGCGCCGTGCTATGTTATGGAATTTTGGTGAAACCGTGATTACTATATAAGTAGGTAGTTGTGCCATGAAAAATAACTAATATAGGAAACAAAAGAATGTTTCGTTAAGATTTTATTACTTTCTTTCATAATAAGTTTATTTTTCTAACGATATATAGTTACTGTAAATACAGACTGCTACAGACTGCAAATAATTTCGTTGATCCTTTTAAGGACATTATTGTGCAGTAAAGAATTGACACAAAGGGGGAAAGTTTGTAAACTTAATGTCGGGTTGATATCATTATAATACGTAGCGTATTGTTGTCACAACGGTTGTTAATAAATGGCTCAATATATACATAATACCGTGCAGGTTAGTAATGTACTGGAAAAGTAGATAAAAAAATATCGGTGTGACAACCAATTGACCTCTTTGGCCGTCTTGCTTTGTGTTTCTTGGTTTTTGTATAGAAATTACCATTATTCGGTTAATGAACTTGATATATTAATGAGTGATGACCAATTAATCACTGTTCAAATGTCTGATATTACCTACACGTAAATATATTAAAACGATACAAAACATAAAATTATGATAAAACAAATAAAAATTATATTTTTATCATAATTAAAAAAACAATACATATTTTGTTACGATCCCGAAAATAATAAAACTAGGTACATGTTTGAAAAATAGTATTTTTGATTTAAAAAAATGTATAAATCTTTACTTATTACACATGTATACACATTTTTTTATTGAAAGCCTCGATTAGAAGGCTTTCAATACTAAATTTAAAATAAATATATATTTTTTTTAAGTTTGTATTATAAAAATAATTATTTTTAAGTATATTTCAATAGATTTTGTAATTGTTATTATTTGTATACGTTTATTTTGTATTCAGCTGTTTTTTAATCTATTGTACATTATTATTATAAATAAATATATATACACAACTTTACTAACTTATTATAAAATATGGTGCAAAAAATATATAAGTATCAATATATTGTACTATATAATGTGAACTCTTATCGATCCACTAAATAATTTATTAAGTAGATAGATTGGGTAGTTAAGTATCTGTTGAAATATTTTCAGTATTAGGGAAAATAATAAAAGGATGTCTCAATGAAGTATAAACAATTTAAATTTTAAATAAATTAAAAAAAAAACGAACATTTTCCTTTTTGGCATTCACATTATAATATCTTCGAAATAATGAAAACTAAAAAGTAACACAACAGGAAGTACCTACAGTAAAATGTATCAAATTATAAAAATGATTAATTATGCACATTAAAGCACGTTAAACGCAATTTAACATGCATTTATCTTCTTTTTAGTTTATTACCAGAGAGTAGTTTTTTCCATCAATAATGAATTCAAACGTTCAATTTAACAACCATCCATCTAAACTATCCGTTCATTTAAAAATAATTTAGGGATATAATAATTCAACATTTCAACAAATGCCAGTATTAATTCTTTTTGCAATTTGTTATAATATATTATAATAATAATATTTGGTTAATCATTTTAAAATGTAGGTAAAAACCTACCTACTTATTAAAAAGTTAAAACGGATAGTAAATTTTACTAGTTTAAATTGGTATATAATTGGATGTGGGCAATTGTCTTATACAATGGGATGTACATAGTTAAAAATAATAATAATCAGAGTTCTATAAATTGAATCAATTGTGTAGATTAATTCTGTACTCCCTTTAGCTCTAACTGTAATTTAATTGTAGCGTACCTGGTGTTTACTTAATTTTTACAATTTGATTAATATTAATGTATCTAGCTATAAATTATAATAGAGAAATGACGTATTGAACATTGAACAAAATCGGTTTTTTTTTGTAAAACAGTTTTAAAACATGTTATCATATAATTCATTATAATGTATGCAATAAAGTAGGTAAACTTATTTAATATGATTTATTGTTTATGCATTTTTTAACCTTTGACTTTAATTAGTACAACATTATTGTATACATTTACAGATGTTTAATTTTCAAGTAAAATAATATTTATATTAGTTTTACTGTACAATTGAAGATACGATACTAACAATTATTATATTTTTTTTATCAATGCAATAGGTACTAGATACCATTTTATTATATTAATGATATATTTAAAACATAAACAGAGTAGTATTTGATGCTGTTTTACTAATATAAATACGTTTATTAAAGATTTAATAAGCTATTATTATTTACTTACTTACTTACTTACTTACTTACTTACTTAACAATACTACTGTCGTAAGTATGTATAAATAATTTTATATAATTTTGCTTCTTTGTGTTATCCATAAATAGGTACACTATTTAAATACTGTTTCACTAAATATTATGATATGAATCCACCATCTACGTATAATCTGAGATTTTTTTAAATTATAATTCGGACGTAGGTTTGTAATTTTAAATGATATGAGCAAGCGAGGAATACATTAGTTTTATTTTGTGTTAAATTTGCGTGTAAACAACTTGAAAGATACTTTCTTGTAGAATTTTTGATCTATAATTAGTGCATTGAGGAAGGAAATTTTTTGACTTTATAAGTAGTTTTTTTAATAAATCGGAAAACTGACAATTTTGATAACTTAAGAGCTCTAGTAAATTAGCTAGTAATAAGTGCTTAATAGGTAACAAGGGAAAAATACGACTAATTATACTCGGCTTGGAATATTTTTTCTTTAATTATGATTTATTTTTGCTTCTAGATATACCTTAAATACTCTGTGTATCCTTTCTTCCAAATTCCTTTTTAGAACAGTGAAAAACCCATAGGCAGTATCAGCTTTTTTCTATTATAGTTGATTTAAAGTAAAATGTATATTATTATTGACACTTGTTGAATTTGATAGAGATTGAATTTTAATTGAGAAATTCTGTGGCCCATGGAATAAAACTATAGATTTTTAGTGGAGTAACTGTGGGGAAAGGGTGAGGTGAAAATATATTTCCCATCAGGTAAAAAAGTCCTTGGTACACCACTGTAGATACCTATGTATAGCTGTAGGTGAGTTGCTGCCCGACCTATTATTTTCAATGTTGAGACCGGTGAATTCCGGCCCGGTAAACTTTTTGGCTGAATCTTTATCGCTGATATACTTGTAGTTATATTATATTTTATTATTTATAAAAAAAAACTGTATAAATACACAGCATAAAAATTGGTATCTAATTAAAAATTTAAAAACGGACAATAAACAATACTAAAAATGTAACACAATATTACATAATATCTATAATTTTATTGATATGTTACTTAAAGTTCAATTTGAGACTTATACAAAATTCAGAAATAACGGATTAAAAACGAAGAAAACATGTGAACAAGAAACTCTTTCCTGTGTAACATTAATAGGCTGATATGAAGTGATGGTCTTTCTCATTAATCCGGGTCGCAATTTCATACGTGATTTAGTGGTTAGGCCGCAATTCACCGACACTGTCATGTATGTTTTTAAACTCTTATGGATTTGAATTATGATACATACGTTTATTATGAAAAAACACATGCACTTAAATAATAGGATTGACTACTTACAAGATTTGGCTAGATTAATTATTATTCATTTAACAGGTAATAATATTTTGAAATATCAGTTTAATTATAATTTGTATTCATATCAGTATAGTGCAACCTAATCAAGTGTTTGTACAAGTATAAATTAAATATTTTAACGCTTAAACTGTAATGTACATAGGCAAATTTTGTTTGGTCAATATTTGGTTTAGAATATTTATATTTTGTATAACACTCGAAAAGACATATTACTCGACAAAAACTCCTTTGCGTATCTAATAAATACCTACTACTAATAATGTATTTATAGTAGGTAAACTTAAATCTCTGTCAAATTAATCCACGGAATATTAATAATATTCTAAATACTATTAACTTTACGTACATATTTTTTTTTTTTTTATAAAACTATTATTTTACACTAATTTACGTAATTTGTTATTTTGTACTTATTTTTACTCATACGGCTGTAATCACTAATCAGTAACATTTATTTTATTAATAGGTAGGTGCATTTAATAAATATAATATATTATATTATAATATTCATATTTATTAAAACAATTGTTACAATAGTTATTGAAACAATTCCTATAGTTTCGTTGTGTTTACGATAAAAGTTTATTGGCGCGTGCGCATGTTGAACAAAATACGTTTAATGCAACCCACTTTCGTGCTGCAGTTAAGTACTACCAGCTAAAACCTGACGGTACGTTAGTTCCTATTGACAGTATGCTGAAGACATTCGTATTTAAAACACAATATTTGAAGATGTTAAACAATTTATTATAACTTGTATTAGTTTTTATTATATTTAGGTTTGAAAAGTTTAAATTATATATTTGTATACACTCAACGGGTTTTCTCTTTTTTATTTTTAGATCATACATTCAATTTTTTTAAATTTTTATTTACACCGAATATGGTTTTTGCAAATACTACATAGAAGTCTTCTTTAAGGTAACGATAAATGATTAAAATATAATACTTAGGAATATTACAATATTATTATAATATCATTAGTTAGTATAATTTATACCACGCCAAAAATTTAGATTTTTAATTTTTATTTTATTCTTATTTTTCTAAAAAAATAATATAAGAATAAAATATAATCCAACGAGGGGTTAAAAGAATTAATGTTCGTAGTATAAAATATAATATAGGTACACAATTCTAAAATAATGGATATTGTTCTTTTAAAAACTCGTGTAAACGTTTCTTTTTTTTTGTAATTGTAGAACATACATATTATAGTTTATTATTTTTAAGTAAATCAAATAATAATTTCTATACGCATGGTATGCTCGTAGTATTAGAGTTCGCACTGATTATATTGTATGCACTATTTGTTTAATGTATTTAAAATAATCAAATAATATAATGTTTATAACACCTATTATTGTATAATGATTGGATTAAAATTGTTCTTAAACAAAACATATTTTTTCATAGTAGGTAATTGTTTGTAAAAATATTTATATTATAATAAACTGAATTGGTGTACAAATAATATTTTATTAAAACGAAAAACTGAATAATTTTCTATACTTACCTAGGTCGGTAAAGATAGGTAAAATTTAAAAACATCGGATTTTCTTTTCAAATTATATCGTTTTCGAATTATAGGTATATCGTGTATACGGTTATAAAATATATCAACACCTGATGATTTTTTTTTTTGTAAAATATGTATAGAATTTAATTTTTTCAGCAAAGATATCATCTAGGTTCTAGAATAGTAGTATAATAATGCAATGTACGCTTTTTCATATGAACGAAATAATTAATTCGTTTTTAATCAAAAAGACGACACACTTACATAGCTACCTAAGTACCATTGTAAAATCGTTTATTAGACATATTAATCGACGACAACGACCTCCATTTAGAATAATAATAACAATATTATAATAAATAATAATATACCGTTGTTAAAAAAAGATAAATCACCGAGCTTTTAGAATTAAACTCCTTCAAGGTGATCCCGATAAAGACGTATTTATGTTATTTACTGTTCGTATATATAACATTATTCAAATCAAAAAAAAAAAAACTTATCGTTTTTATGTTATTTAGGTCACAATTTACGTTAAATATATCACACTTTTTTTTTTTTTTAAATAATAATATTGTTATTCAGTTTTTTGATCGTAGATGTTCTCGTATAAAATCGTAATATGATTGTAAACTGTTCACATATTATTATTGTACACCAACAATGATAATATTTCCATACCGTTTGTAATGTAATACAAGTAGGGTATGTACCTACGTATTACGGTATAAAATGTAGAACGCCGAACTGAATTTTTAATAATATTATTCGTAATTGTTTAATATTTTATTCGTATAAGAACAATTTTTCTCAAATTCGAATAGATATCCGTAATATTTATGAGCAATTTATTTAAATGGGAAGTAAATATAGTTAATAGGTTGGTAGGTACCTGGCCGCTGACCGGTATTTCGGTTTCACAAATAATACAGCGTTTATCCAATTATTATAATCTGCAAAATGCACATTCAAGTAGGTATATATAATATTATTATATGTATATTACGGTAGTATTAATGATAATTACTTATTTGATTTACAAACTGAAAATAAAACTTGAAATCTGCATTTTCATCTGATGTTTAAACAGATAGTATCTATAAAGAATAGACTAAACAAAAATAAAATAATAGTTATCATAATCTTAATATAGGTAAAATCAATGATTTTGCAATATTCGAAGTGAAAGTGAATTTGTCGTACGAATAACTAAAATATTATACGATTAAATTAAATAATAATAATACAATTTGAGGTATGAAAAATCAGAATTTATATAATATTGTTTTTTTTTTTTTTTTTATTTTTTTTATTATAAAAAACTTAGGTAATATTTACGATATTATAAATTATTTTATTATTTCGATATAAAGTTGTATAATCGTTGATGTCGATAAAAACCACGTTTACATTTTTCGACTATTTTTTTCAAACCAAACACTTATCCTATTTTTTTTTCTTTTTCAAAATGAATTACATAATTAAAGGTTTTTTTTTTTTTTTGTAGTCCAGATCGTTTTTTTTTCTAAAAATAACTAGAAAATCACAAATAGAAAAATTGACTATTGTACAATTTTAGAAAGTTCACGCTGCGATAATAATCGTGTGAAATTTATCGAGTACAAATATTTATCATAAACCATACAAAGCACATAGGACACCGGATTTCTTTGTAAGTTTGTCGGCGCAATATGTTTTTTTATTCTCAGTAGATAGTCGACATGGACAGGAAGAGGGAAAATCATATTAGGTATGAGATGAGTATATTGACATAATTTTTAATTGTCCCCACAATAACGTTCTGATAATTTACTATAGTCGTGTTTCCTGTGCGGGTTTTCTTTGAGTAACTTTTTTCTTCTCATAGTACTCTCTGTCTCGTGCAAATAGAATTATATTATATTTGTTACACTCTTCTTTAAACCAGTTTTAGTATAATATAATAATATAAATTACGGCTGAACGATTATTATAAAAACGCTAAAGAACCATTTGATATAAAATAACCGAAACCAGTTTGTCAATTTTGGTCATAATTTTATTCGTATAAATATCTTTGTAAATGATAAATGACAGTAATATTATTATATTATACACTCATATTTATATTTTAAATTTTTATTAGAATATCATTTAGTTTTATTTACTAGAAATTATAACTTACTCGCTTTGTTGTTCCCTAATAATAATTGTTTAATTTGTTTTTTATCTATATGTATAGAACTTGCATTATATCACAACTACTATGCGGAGCCAAAGTACAATCTTTTGCATTTTGGCACTGATAACGTATGTCAGTACTTCAGGAATTTTGTATCCAAGAGAGTCAGAATCTCGCGAAGTCAAGTCCCTAGATGGCATGTGGAACTTCAGGCTGTCTCTACCCGATCCACTCGTCGGTTTCAAGGAACGTTGGTACATGAAAGAATTAAGCAAGGTAAAAAAATAAATATATAATATATAATAAATTAACCATTAAAGATTATTGAAAAAGCTAACAAATGTTCACAAAAGTTGTCTCGAGATATAATGAAAACAATTATTTTATTATATAGTAGGTGAAACATTTGCAAGTTTAAAAAAATGTATTTATCGGAAACAACTACACATTATAAAGATTTATTTCCGATCGTAAAAATAATTGGCACATTATGCAAATTTCGGTATTATTCTTCTTCAAATCGTGAAACTTCACCTAGATTTTAATAAATGACTACTATACAGTTGACGGTCGTTGTGCAATTTACTTAATCGTATATTTACGCAAACGCATAAACATATACGCATATAAGCACTATTCGTTTACGATACTAAAAATCACGATGGAACCTGCTAGAAAAACTGACTTCTAAGTCCGTATACGGAGATTAACAATTTTATTATCGCGTACAAACATTCAGCGGAAGATTAAAATAATGAAAATATTCAAATAAGTAGGTATCTATTTAACGTTTCGAAAAATGTTATGTATACGAGACAGCTGAAAATTAATATAAAATATCCGTTTACTCGGAGTGTCGAAGACAATCTAACAGCGTATAATGAAATTAGTAATGTAATTTGTTTGGCCATTCAGCATTGCTATAATATACATAATTGTTGTTGTAACACACGCTGCGCCTCGTGTGTCTATTGTGCAGAACATATTAGAATACTAATATTGTTTTGTACAAGACCACGTGTACGTCAAGACTTGCTGCTGCAGTAACAAGCTGTAATAATTTATAAGCACATCATAATATCAATATTTTGTTGCTGTTTTCCAATACCGTGAGGGCTTATTGCAAGTCATATTTATGGATTCTGTCTAAGAGGCTAATAATACGCAATTCTGTACGGGGACGAACGCAGAAAATAGTTTCGGGGAGTGTTTTTGAAAATCATTTATTGAAAATTAGAACAATAATATAACATTAAAATAGAATTAGTAAACCATACATTTTGTAGGGTGTTTGAATACCCAAAATACCTCTCTGTGTACCTGCCTGATTCTGTATCTATTATTATAGTATAGTATGCTAATCGTCTATGGTGTATAATAATAAAACCATTTGGGTGTTTAATTCTTATGTGATGCTAATAATTACTAATGATAGGCTCAACCGAATAATTAGGTACTATCGAACTATTAAAAAAAAAGAAAAAGGTCACGAGGAATATATCCCTTATACACCATTTACTGTTTGACCAATCCTGGTTAATCGAAATTGAACTATTCTAATCTATTTTATTCGATTATGGGAAAAACCATTAGGTCATGGAAAAAATATTCATATGTAACATTCGATAGTTCATTTACACTATAAAGTATAAACTATAAGTCTGATCCGAAATCTTGTTCGTAAGACTGCTTGTTTACTGGATAATTTTCTTATCATCACTAACCGCCATCAGTCTACGAAAATTTAAAAGTACCCACCAACACATTACTCGCTATACTTAAAATATAAAACATAGAATAGTAATTATTTACTACTATGAACATACATTTGTAAGAGGAAAACCAGGCAACATTTAGTGGGATTATAGTCCGTTACCGAAAACTCATAAACAGTGTATTCTTATGGAATGAAAAAGGGACACTTATTTGTTCACAGTTTATGGGCACCATATACTTTAATCCGAGTGTGCTGAGGAGGGTAATAAATTGCATATAAATATTTTACGTCTACTTTTCTGATCTAAATTTTAAATGTCAGATTTTTTTTTTATTAAGTATATTGAATGTTATTATTTAAATTATTTAAATATTTCACTTAAGGTGATTAAGTTTACATTAAAAAAAATAAAAAAATAATAATAATAACTTTATTACTGACATCGGAGATTGTGAATATTACTAATTATTTTATAAATTTATTCTAAACAATGTAGATAAGATGTAATACTTATCTCTACTATAAGTATTATTATCAAAAAACACATTTTTTTATCGTTTTTTTTAAAAAAAAATAAAAAACTAACTATATAATATAGATTATAGTTAATACTTAATAGTTATGTAATAATAATATAAAGCATAGGCATTTCAAACCTACATAATATTTAATTACTGCAATAGGTTTTGTACTAGTAAAAATACCAAATATATATTTTAAATCCAAAGTAAGTCAATAAAACCGTTGAAAAATGTATCTTGACGTTCATAATTTACAAATACTTTTTTTCACTAAATTATATTTTAAAGAATACAACTTTGGTTATACAATAATTTACAATATCGACTGTTAAAAATTAATTACTATAATCACAAATGTCTAATATAGTGTGCATTTACACACATTTCTGTAATATTTTTTAGCTTGCATAAAAACTAATATGGAAAGACGGGAAAGTATAGGGTTTATATTTATGTTTAAGAAATGAGCCCAAAAATAAATGATGATTGAATTTGCAATAAAAAGTAGCCGGAATGCTGGATAACATGTTTCGAAAATTTTTACTATCTTATAAATAGTGTAAAAGGTTAAAATAGTTACCTCGGTTTGCTCACAATCTAAAAAATTACACAAAATTATCAGACTGCAGCTGCAGTAGTATTCCGGTACAGCTTTGTACCACAAATAGTTTCAATTCAATAGAATGTATAAAATTCACAAAGAAAATTAATACCGTATAAATATTGTGTTTTATTTTTTAAATTTTGAGTGATATGGGAAATGTGTTTGTTTTGCAATGATATATGTTCGAATTTTTTTTTAATTTTTAAATTTGTACCTGTATATAACTTTTCTACCAGAAATCTTGTTCCAATCAAAAATAACAAAAGAGTGTTTTAATAATATTTTGGTTCTCGTTAGTGCACTAAGGAGGTAATTTTTTATTTGCCATGTAATTTTCATAATAATTAGAAAAACCGTAAAAAAACATATAAGAAAAACGAATGAACGTGTAGCGATATCAATTTCATTACTCAAAATTGTTTAATCTGATCCTTAAAATTATACCCTCTTGTCACCGATCGATTAAAGTTGCAAGTTTATTCATGTTAAAGCATATTTACATTTTTATTTTTCTTATAGTTTATATGTATATATATATTTTTTTAAAAGATTTAAATGTTAATAATTATTGTTAATTAACCCGTTTAATAATGTAAAGATACACATTTTTGAATTTTAAATTTTAAAATAATTTCAGTGGTTAAACAAAAAAGGAACCTAACAATATTATCCTGTTGTGGAAATTGTCTTTCGACACATAGAAGTAGCATAATTGCATATACGTAACGCCTTTTGGCGCAATTTGAATTTTATTGCAATTATATTACCTAGTTATTACGACAGAATATTATCGTAGCTATTTCCAGATAATTTATAAACGTGAGGCAATATAATGCCTAATTATAAAATGTCAAACAGGTGTTCATAATATAATAATATAAGAATTATTATCTTGTATATGTATTCTTGAAATGTCCTAAATTTGTGAAATGGTATATTTGTATTGTATCATATTATTTATAAATTAATTTTGGTCGTTATATTCCGCTGTGTGCAGGAAACGTATATTAGCTCTCTCGATGTAATGAGAAACATTGCGTAAAAAAGGAAAGTACCAACTATTAAAATTTGAATTTAGTATCGATACGAATTTATGCCAACGAATTGATGACCCTGGGCCGTTAAATACTAAATTATCGGCTTTTTTACTTCAAAATGTAAGCTACTAAACGTGGATTTCATCTAACCTGTTTTTATTTATACTCAATGTGATTTTTCAACCACTAAGGGTTTTAGATTTACACTTAGGACATTAACTTCCTTGGAGCAGTGTTAGATTTGAATTTTGGACGATATTTTTGAGTTGGTATATCTAAATCTCGATTTTTGTTGTCATTTTCTAAGCGCAACGGGAGAACCGTGTATATCTTGCATGCAGGTTTAATAATATTATAATATAATACGGGTTTTAAAATAATTCGTTTTTCTATACTATACTATATTTTACTAATATATTTTGTTTTAGTCCGGCCCGGTCATTCAAATGCCAGTGCCTAGTAGTTACAACGACGTGACTGTGGATAAAAAAATCAGAGACCATGTCGGATTGGTTTGGTATGATAAATCGTTTTTTGTACCGGAATCGTGGAAGCAACAGGGCTACAAGATATGGTTGAGATTTGGCAGTGTTCACTACGCCGCTCAAGTAGTAAGTGTAATATATTTTAAGTTCTATGCGAAGTGAGGAATGTATTGATTTTACTTTCTTTTCTTTTTGTGTCCAAACAAATGTCCTACTAAAAATGTTACTCCAATTAAATAATTATAGGAATTGACTTTCCGTGTAGCTTTAATAAAATGCTAAATTGGGAAAATGATTAGTTTGTTATTCAATTTTTATTCATTTCTGGGTTACCATATTAGTCATTAATACTGTGCTAAAAATCTTTTTTCGTTAACAATAGTTTTTTGTTACGTAAAGATATAAGTTATAAATCATTCTACACATCCACCCTTCTAATTTCCATTATAAAACAGTGGCACTGCGATATCAGCTATATCAGTCCTTTTTTTTTTTCTAGTGGGTAAATACACATTTGGTAATGAATCATGAAATCGGACATTTACCGTTCCAAAGAGATATAACTTCAAATGTAAAATTTGGACGATTAAATCGAATAACAGTGGCAGTCGATAACGTTCTATTGGCCACAACAGTACCACAAGGAGCTTTACAAAATATCACCACGTGAGTATTGAAAATATACCTAAACTCTTACATTATCCACAAGATGCTGGCTAAATAAACGCTGCTTAATCGATTATGTACTCGTATAATATTGCTCAAATATATTTTACACCGTTTCTTAAAAATAAAAACACAGTGTTCCACGAAAATAAAATTATATAAATCGTATACCTACATAATATGAAAATAAATAATAATAACATTATGTTGTAGACCTAGCTTTGATTTCTTGCGCGTGATAATATTATTAAAACTTAATTTTTGTTTTCAAACAAAAGTTATACGACTAAGGTGTATTATCAGTTTGATAATAAATAATAATAATAATAATAATAATAATAATAATAATAATAATAATAATAATAATAATAATAATAATAATAATAATAATATTGTTTTATATACGTGTTGTAAAAATAAACAAACATTGCAAAATAGGTATTCGAACACAACAACACATGACGAAATATTTAATAATAAAATTATTCGTGACTATATTTTTGCAGGAATAATGGAGCTAAAACCATTCAAACGTATACATTCGACTTTTTCAATTACGCTGGGATTCATAGGTCAGTGTTCATGTACACGACTCCTGTCGTATACATCGACGATGTTGATTTGACGACCGATTACACGGAAGACGGCCTCGGTAATATGTTTTTCTTTCTATAATTATGTTATCTATTTGCCTAACTAAATATTTATCAAATAACTAAGAATTTGAATGCAATGAAGAAACTATAATATTTTAGTAAATTGGTGTTTTTTTTCTCGGAAAACCTTTGCTTGGTTAGTAAATAATAAAAATACCTTAAAAGATGCTGAAACATTTTTTATAATTCCCAATAGTTTCTCCCAAAATTGTCTTCTATGTTTTATTTTATTTTTAAAACCACTTTTCGTAAATAAAATGTTCCGATTTTTTCAAGTAATACTTTAAATGACATGGAATTTCCACGTGGTAGTGCTTAGTTTTTTGAAACATTTTTAAACGTTGTGAATTACTTCCAGATTATTTTGACACCAAACTTTAACAGACTATTGAACCACATTAATAATTTAATTTTTTATTATTTGAATTAATTTTAAATCATGTATAGTAAGAAATAGGTAGATAATAATTTATAAAATGACAAGATAATTATTAATTTTGGATCATATAATAAAGAAGTTTAGTTTCTCCATACAAACAATGGTAGTTTATTATAATATATTCATTATTAATTAATATTTATACCTATGATTTGGATTCCGATGTACTTTGTATTATTTTCCAAAGATTGTTATGCTTATATTATTATAAATTCATTTCATGCACTTTTGAATGAGTATAAGAAATTTTAATCACTACAAGAGTTTTCGGATCTAAAAATTGAAATATGATTTTTATATACGTATAACAAACTATCAAAACTATTTGTAATCGTATTATACTATTGGATAATAATAATGTTAAAACCTATAGATAGATAGACGAGTGGTGGCACATATGACAAAATTAACGTGGTTTTTAGAATCACTTGATTTCATATTTAATAATCTGTTAGAGAAATAAAATCAATACCGACATCCAATGATACCGTTCAGTATGAGTTTTTCCATGAGTTTTCCTTAAAATAAGGTCTAACTTGAAGATGTTCAGTTGTGTATATAAAACTTCTGTACGATTTACAATTATTCAAATATCATTTAAAGCAAAATTATTAAAAATAAAACATTTTTTAGAATTTTTAACGCAATAGTATTTTTTTTAATAATATTACATTCTTAGTCTTAGTTATTGTTATCATTAGTTGGTAAACATATACCACGTACTGAATAGAAAATGTATTGATAAAATATTTCAAACCAGTGTAATATTATATTATTATTATAGTAGATAATATTTATTGGAAATATTACTATTGTGTGTTTAACAGACGCAATGTTTACACCCCTGAGGACCGAAATACTCGTTTTATTATGTTCGATTAATTTAGGTAACTAATAAATTATATTTCGCTGTGCTGTAGTTTTCAGGTATTAATGTGTTATGCATTCCTTATATTTTTAGCTTAACCCTTTCGTAACAAATATCTAACTCTCATGTACCATTTAAATACCCAAGTCCAAATAAATACAATTTATTGTAATATTTCCAGGTTTTGTTTGTGACATCAAAATAATAATTTATGTAGGCATTATATTTTTTCCCTGAGCAAACAAACTACTTTTTCTTTAATAAATAATTTTTTACTTTCGAAAAATGAAAAATCGAATAATTATTACGTACTAGTTTTTTTAGTTTACTATTAGTTTATTTCTAATCAAATATAATAATAATAATAATACAATGCTTACAAACTTTATTAATTAAAATAGAAGGAGATAATAATAGTTTTTTGTTTCGATAATTTTATATTTCCTCGAATAAATTTACGATAATGTTATTTTACTATTTTCCTGGAAATATGTTAGTTTACCCAATTATTAGTTGTTACACTAACTGATAATATTTTTTTACTTTTTACCTACACAAAAAAAAAACATACATAGATAACGTTTAAATAATACAAATTTAATTTTGACGATTTATTACTGTGTATTATTTTTTTTAATCATTAATCGTTAATTTTTTTATATTATTTGAGTAATGCCTATTGATGGTTTATCCATAGTTGTATAGTTTTAATTTTTTTATTACCTATACCTATTTGCATATTTTAACATTCAGTTTCTATGTTATACAGTAGTGCAACCAGGGAGGGAGTTTCTGAACTGAACACTCCCCTTACGTTCATGTTTAAGTAATATAAATGTATTAAAAAACATGTTTTTTTTTGTGTAGACATGTGACACTCCCCAATAAAAAATCTTGGTTACGGTTTTGGGTACATACTAAGTGTGTTTTCTAAAAATGTAACACATAATGGTTATAAATAATAAATTATGAATTAAAAAATTATCAAAACAAATAATTATCAGAAAATGTTTCTAATAGATACAGTTATGTAATAGAAATCTCTAAAATTATGATGATTTTTAAACGTAATCAATCCAAAGATTCAAATATCAATGGTGGGAGGCGGGTGTAGTAGTATTATATATGAATAAATCATAAAATCATCTTCTTTATCTAATCCTAATATTTTTTCAATAAAAATACCTACATAAAATAATTCTATAATTTAATTTCCGTAATATTCCGTTATTATTATTATAGAAGACATACTATAATTATTGAGACTATGTTATGTCTTTTATTATTTGTTCGTAAACAATACAATTATCCAAATTCATAACATAAATATTGAATACATATTTAAACTTATAACATCATTCATATATAAATATAATACAAATCAATTTATTTTGCATCAAACGTAAAAAATGTAAAATTGACAAAACTTTACACATACGCAATTAATAGATATTAAATTCATGTAACCCAAAACGTGATCTATAATATACCTACATCAAATTTGTATAAAATATGCTATTTTGAAAAGTACGTAAGTTGATCAAATGACAATTTGCCAGTTACCACTTATCCATCTAAATATCTATATTTTAATGAGTAAGTATATACCTGGTTTAATGTTTAGGGATAATATATTACAACGTGAAATATGGAGGATCACTGAGCAGCGACGAAACGTTGAATTGTTCAATAACAGTATTAAATAACGAAAATGTTCGAGAAAAGTTTGTCGTGATCAAAAACGACACCGAAGGTTTATCGGGTACGATACAAATTGAAAACGTGAAACTTTGGTGGCCATATTTGATGAACGACGTTCCGGGATACATGTATACATTAGAAGTAAATAAAATGTTTAATTCATATTCCCTACGTATGATAATTATTTGCAATGGATAGTTTGCGATAGGATAGTGCGTGCAACTTTCTAAACATATAAAGTTACGCACCTATTATATTTTGATTTTCAATTTTTAATGCAGTACGCGCTTAGTACAACTACGAACAATATAATATTAATAGTACATTATTATTGTATGGGTATTATTTTAAATGTATTAGATACCTATATGGATAATATAATATTATGTTTGGGTATAATATATATATTATTTTAAACGTTAGAGATGACAAACGATAAATATAATATTGGCTTAAACGATATTTTTATAGATCAGACTTTCGACCACTTGGAACGTGGACGACGTATATCGTATACCAGTCGGGATTAGGACGATCAAGTGGACGAATACTTCGTTCCTTATTAACAACAAGCCCGCTTACTTAAGAGGATTCGGACGACACGAAGATTCGGATGTAAATATCGTCACGTTTTTTCGTGCTGCGCATAGGCCGAGTGAGACCGGAAATAATGACAGTTTGTTATTGTTGAATATTTAGATACGAGGGAAAGGAATGGACTACGCGCTAGTCACTAGAGATTACGACCTTATCAAGTGGATTGGAGCGAATTCCTACAGGACTTCTCACTATCCGTACGCCGAAGAAATCATGGATTTTGCAGACAGACACGGAATCATGGTTGTGGATGAGTGTCCAAGTGTTGATACCGAGTGAGAATATTTATAATTTTACAGTGTGTACATTTTAATAATGTGACGTAGTTCAGCACGTCAAAAGTCTAAAATATATAAAAAAAACAATAACTCAAAAATGCGCTTTGAAAATTTGGAGATGTCATTTTATAGGGGAAAATACGGATATCGTGTATCGATATCGACTTAGGAAATATTGAAATAAAACAGGTATCAAGTATCAAAATTCAAAATCGAAAATTTTGCTATCATCCATTTCTATAACTTTTATATAAAATACATGTAACACTTGTCTACGTTATTTTATCTAAACATTTGATATTTGTGTACTCGGTATCAATTTTTTCTATACTATTTTATTTTATTAGATAAAACATTTTTTTTTTTTTTGGTGTCTTCAGCCACCCGATTGGTTAACTCTCTTTATCGTAATTCCTCTAAGTTTTTGTAATTATCCTTATCCTTAGTCTGTCTTTTAAAATGAGGCCTACGTTCCCTTATATGGAAATTTTTTTGTCAAACTATTTTGACGCGTTATAGATGCCCTGCCGTTTTATACTATCCGATTATAATGCTATACTGAAGTTTTCGTTTCGAATTTAACTCTATTTCATCGGCCTAATCGACATGAGAGTTGTTTATTATTGTTCATAATTTACAATTTATATTGTCTACACACTTCCACGGACTTCTGTCAGATGTTTTGTAATATTATAAATTATAATTTATAATACTAAATTTGATTCGTTTTAGATGAATAATTTATACTCGTGTAATAATTAATAATATTATTATATTTTCACTTTTCAGTCATTATTCTGACAAATTATTGAAAAAGCACACCACGAGTTTAGCAGAACTCATCAAGAGGGATAAAAACCGGCCCAGTGTGATCATGTGGTCTATTGCAAACGAACCGCGGTCGGATCACAAAGACGCTGATTCGTATTTCAAGTGAGCATTTACCTATAAGAAAGTAGAGTAGACGACACACTATACACGAATGTTATAATAATAACATATACCATTCTCCGTACAATTTTCACGTTATTTTATTATAACACAAATACAAGTGCAATCTTAATTTAATGAAAAATCATTCAAAATAAGTTTTTACAACATTCTGTAAAACACAATGTAACACATTATGTAATTTTTTTTTATGCAATCGCGTTGAATATTTTTAAATTAAAACTAGTTTATTGACGATTTCATAATTATGCTAATGTTATTAGATATTCTTTTAAACATATATTCTCGTATGAACCACGATATTAAAAGCATGTGGAGAATCTCGGGAATTTTTAGGAAACATCGATATTTTCATACGTTTCGAATTTATTGATTAAATACTACCAAAAATAAATAATTGATTAATTGGTTAATTCCCCTTCCTATATATTGACAAAATATGTTATTTTTATTCTGTTATGTAACTATAGGTACGTCGTGGAATTTGTCAAATCAAAGGATAAAACACGGCCGGTTACTGCCGCTCTGAACAAATGGTACAGCATTGACAGGGCGGTAAGTAATTAGTTTATATATATATATATATATATATATATTATATAAATTTGTAAAAAAATACTCTATTAAACTATTGCACTTGTGTTTTCTTTCATCTGAGCTTTTACTTACTTACATTTTCTCCAGATTAATTTTTATAATACAGTGGATGTGGCCGCTTAATGTGGCCATCAGTTAATGGCAATCACCAAGTATGGACATAGTGGTCTAGTCCCAATTCTATACATGTAATGTGTATCGTTACACATGCAGGTTAAAATGGGCAATCGCTTAATGTTGGCAAATGTTACTGGTCCCAACGTCCCCACATTAAGCGGAATCGACTGTATTATTGTTATATATATATATGTGTGTTTTAAAACACAAGTAAATAAAAAACATATCTATTATAGTAATATAACTTCACCGAAATTCACAATATTATTACACAGCATTTCTAACACTAACATTAATGCAGGTACCTACTCTACGATTATATTATAAAGTTTATTGCTTTAACTGTTTTATGTTTACGTTTTTTGATTTTGAGTATTTAAATAATTATTGTTTAGATCGGTAGCTATCTATGTGAAAACGTTAGACAATTCGCGGCCTATAACAGCAGCTATTGCGACAGATGTCGAAACTGACCAACTGGTGAGTGGAAACACTATGGTCAACAAATTCTTCGCGCAATCTATTCTTTATAAATAATGCTTAATAGAACATTAAATGTTTACAAAAACAAAAATCTGTTTAATTATATTTAGTATGTAACTATTATTCATTTATAGGGCCAACACTTGGACATTATCGGATTCAACAGATACAACGCTTGGTATACGTTACCTGGTCATACGGAAATCATCAGGTACAGACTAGAAGACGAAGCTACTAAATGGCACAACAAACACAACAAGCCGGTTTTCATGACGGAATACGGAGCAGACACGTTGCCCGGTTTGCATATGGTAGGTATCTACTTGTATAAACAAAATAATACTGATTAAATACATATAAAACAATTAATAATTTTGTTTGAATTTGTCTTTAGAACCCGTCATTCGTTTGGTCTGAAGAATACCAAATAGAACTTATGTCCGAGCATTTTAAAGCATTCGATACGCTCCGGAAAAAACGTTTCTTCATTGGCGAAATGATATGGAATTTTGCAGACTTTAAAACTGAACAGAGTAAGTGAATCGAAAATGACAATAATTCTATTAATGTTTATTACACCCGAGTGATATCACAGTGAAATATATCATTAGTTCGTTGGACAAGAATAGGTTTGTCTTTGCCCAGTTTGATTTTTTTACGGGGATAATTAAATATCATTGAGAAAATGTATTGAAAATCAGTTTCATTCTTCACCTTGGAAAGCTTTTATCAAGCTACTACTAGTATAATATACAGTGTGATCAATCCTTGATAAAAAATTAATTATCTTGGAAAGTATTAACTTTTTTCAAAAAATTTAAAAAAACAAACAGCTCTTAAATTTAATATTTCCGTTATTTTTTTTTTATTACTATTTTTGGATGTAAAATCCTTATCAGCTTTTAATTTTAAAATAGTGATCTTTATTAAAAATACCAAAATAGATGAAGTCTTAGTTCAAACACATTTTGGTTTTGACATTTTGAATTTCCGTTAATCTGTGTTTAAGATATTCCACTTTTAAGTTTACCGTTTTGTGGGTAGAGGGAAAATAGTAGAGTACTATTCAATTGCTGCGTGCCGTGCCGTGTATTCAAAAATATATTTAAACTATAAATTGCTATTTGGAAATCAAAAGTGGGTAATAGTTCAGACTCAAAAGTAAGGTCGATAAAAAACGTAGTGGAACATCTTAGAGCTACTCGTTTTATTATAATTGTCCGAAACAAATTCTGAAAAAAGTTAACAATATTCCCGAGACAGTAAGTATTTTATCGAGAATTTATCACATTATATAGCTAAACAAAGTATGTAACAAACATTTGTTTGTCTTGTTACATAAACAGACACACATGCAGGGATGTTTTGGGTGCTTAAACACCCAATAAAATCGATTTTATCAGTTAAATGTTATGTTTATTGATTTTTTTTTTATAATTTTCAACAATTTATTTTCAAAAAGATCTACCCGAAATATTTGTCTGCGCACGTCCTTGCATAATATGTTAATATTATTATATAGCAAACCATTCAAGATGCATTTGCCGAATGAAGCATTTACACATAGGGAATTACAACTGTATGAAGTGTTCTTTGTTTCAATATATCGATCACATCGGTATAGTCATATCAACGACATTTCCGTTTGTAATATATTTTTAAAGAAATCGAATAAAGCGGATTGTGAAAACACGAAACACGTTTGTTTTATAATAAATAACTCACATTTTAACTCACTGTGATTAAGTGCCACTATTGTGAGTGAGGAGTTGGGAAGGTAGGATAATATGATAATTTAATTTAAACCTGTACGCAAAGATAAATTCATTGCTTATGAAAAACGATTCTGAACGAAATTCGATTAAACGTGTTTTCGATGTATAACTTAAACTTAAACTGAAAATTATGTTAATATATATCTACAAAACAAATACTTAACAACTGTTCATGTTTTTTCGTCTCAAATTTTCAATCAAATTTCAGGGAGCAAAAAAGTTTTATTTGCATACATCGCGAAATAGTTGGCGAAATTCCGTGATTTTTACAGTTATTATAAAAAATAAAACCAAAAAAAAAAATAAATAAATAAATAAATAATCTCCCAAATAATTTTGTAAATAAAATAATTAAGCAAATTTAAACTTTTACTGTATTTGTCTGCTGACTAATTTTCTTTTTGGACATTTACTTATTATTATTATTAAGTACTCATGTATACATTTAAGTATCTAACAAATGTCAGATATAACAATTTATGGGTTTATGAAATTATTATGTTATAATATAATATGTATAATATATTATATACATACATTTATTATTTAGTTTATGGGCTTAATGACAAAATTATGTTTGTAAAACAGGTGTCACGAGGGTAGGGGGAAACAAGAAAGGCGTTTTCACGCGACAGCGGGAGCCTAAATCGTCGGCGCACCATTTGAGAAAGAGGTACTGGGCTTTGGCCAAACAATTGGACGGTGTACAAGTTCCTGGCAACATACAGTCTTATGTGATGGATAACGAATGCAAAAATAACGCTGAACTTTAAAATATGCTTACGTGTAACGTCTTCCAGCAGTGACGTTGACTACTGCAGCTATTATAATTATATTATTACAGTCTTCCTATTTATGAATGTTATACGGTTTTAAATTATAGTATAATTAAGTATATTTAACAGTATAATATTATTACGAAAATTCAAATTAAATATTACTATTATTCGTATCGGATAGCACATATTATAATATTATATCGTAGTTAGACGATTCGAGACAGTTTTTTACTATTATTACATCAACTATTTTCGTTGAAATATTATAAGAATTCGATAGAATTTCAATTATTTATTTATAAGTAATAACATATTCATCATATAATTACATATTATATTGTATATGATTCAAGGTGTTAAAATAACGCTTAATACTATATGATTTTATAAAGTTCATATTGAAAAAAAAACAAACTCACCTAGTAATTTATTTTAGTTCAACTCTGTAATTATGTGTATTCATCGACACAACCTGTTTTATTTTTTAAATACATAATAATATATTGTACACAAATTACAAATAATAATCATTTATGAAAAATTTGATATACCTAACTATTCGTATATAGTTAAGACTTTAGTTGAATTTAAAAAATAATATAATATAGAAAACCAATGATTCATTTTGTGATCGATAATTCGACATTTCCATTTTCTAAGTCATATAGCGTATCAATAATTAATAGCTTACAATTTAGATATCTACACCTATGCATTATTTTGTGATACAAAATGCTTACAATATTGTTATTATTATAGTTTAGTAGACTACATTTTTATTTTTGTGTAGGTCTTACAAATTTTGTAATACTCATTAAATTTTGTTTATTTATTAAGTTTTTTCATTGTCTATTATTTTGGAAACTTCTTTTTCTATTTAATAATCAATAAAAATAAAAATTACCAATAGATATAAACGAACATGACATTTTTCCGAAATAATTTACAAAATTGCAGGTTTCAGTTAAAACAAATATAAATTGTTTAAAAAACTATTTCGGTAAAACTGTTCACCCGTCCCGAGTGTTATTATCTTAATTATTGTGTTACGGCCGGACCATCTTATTAAATAAACTTTGATATATTTATGACTAAAGATATATAACTAAAGCAATTAAAATTGAGAAGCATGCAGTTTTATCTGGAAAGGCAAAATCTAGAACGTAAAAAAGTTTTGTCAGGTTTAGACGTTTCAGTTTTTGTAATTCCAGATTTCGTCTTTCCAAATTTATCTATTATTTTTTAAAAAAGAGTTGATACTGGGATCGATTTTACCATTATATTGAATATGGGAAATTTTTAGTGGTATAGTACATAAATATGTTTAATATACATCTGTAAGCAACAATAAAATGTTGCTAGAAAAACGATTCTGAGTGAAGTTCGTCATAAAAACTGTATTTTTTACGATTTACGTTAAATTTTATTTTGAAATGCTAATATAAAAAAAACTTTGTACATTATACTTTTTTTTTATCACTAAGTACAATTTATAATAAATCTCGTTTTAAAAATTTAGTTAATCTCTGTTTGGTAAAATAATTTTGTCCACATAGTACATACCAAACGAAAATTAAAAAAAAACTACTAGAAAATGTCAAATGCTTACAAATAATTCAAAAATAGAAAGAATATTTTGATTTTTCGATGCCTACAAATGTTCAATATAAGTATTCTGTGAAAATTGCATGTGTCTTAACGGGCCCAAGTGTCAGCCGCAAATTAAAATATAAAATTTTAAATGTCCGCGTTTCGTAGATTGTTGACTGTACGCCCTATACACACAGTACGAACGCCACGAAAACACATCGTTTTTTATTATAACATTATATTCGAATTCTATATACTACTATGCTTTATAGTTTTAATACCGCTGTTATAGATAGAAAGTTTTTTTGAGTATAAACACGACGTCGTCATTCGGGAACTATACGTGAACAGAATAATAACTTGTATTTCCGGACGTCTGGCATTAAAATCCCCTATACGAGAAGTATGTCCGGTGTATTATACTATATTATTCATACGATATTATAGTCCCGAGATAAAATTATGGATTCAGTTTCGTACAGTATAGAACGTTAAATTTAATTTATGTTATCACAACATGAAGGTGTTACGGGCAGCCGTTGAACCGCCAATTCCGGTCGTCTCCAGATTTTTCTAGACTTAAAAATCCTAGTAATTTCTAGACTTGGAATATTACGTTGATAGAATAAATCAATAAAAACTCAACTATTTATATCGCTTGTATTTCATAAACACTTTAGTAACTATACAAATATTTTAAAGAATAGAGTGGCGCGAAGGAAATACACTTACACCATAATACCTACTCCAGGCGATGCCTTCCTTAATTAATGCATTTTATTTTTAAATGTAAATTTTTCATTTACTTTATTTATTTACGAGTATCAACCATTTTAATAATTTCGTTTTTAATTTATTCTTGTACTATTTAAATAATTATTGATCATTAATAATATTGTAATTAATGTGTAATAAAAAACATTTTATTTGTAATAAAAACAATTTGCCCTAACAAATGAAAAATAAAATAAGACAAATAATATATTAATTTTATTAAATCTTATTTTTGTTTTTTTGAAATTTTGAACGATAATCACGACGAAACCACGTGGGTGCAAAACGACTTTTGTAGAAAAATTAATTTTCGCGCCACAGACTGGAGTTCGACGAATTTCGAGCTTAAAAGCGAACGTTACGCGGAATCGCTCGGTTTCGGTTTTTTTGCTTTTTTTCTATATTTTTGTCGTTTCGGTTTTCGGAATAATAGTTTCAATAATGTAATCGCAAAACAACGGTTTCTGAGAATAGATTATTAGATTCGATTATAGGTACAAGTCGTACCTCATCTTTAATATAAGACTCCAACTCAAGGTTGACGACGATGGGACTTCTCTTTCTAACTAATGAGATTTCTGATAGGGTTGTTCTTCTCGCACGTTTAATCGTCCACACAGCTGTTTTCGTGGAAATTCTTTTATCGTATTTTATTATTATTATTGTGTAGATCCGCCGACGGGGAAACCCTATTAGGAATAATAATAATTGTATTTTTGTCGTTTCTATACTCATATACATGTAAAACGATACCGTTTTCCAATGACAAGATAGGAAGCTCGGTAGGTTAGGTGTTGGTTTGAGAAACACGATTTAGGCCCATATCGCCGAATCGCATTAAATACTATGCCATACCTGAATTTTTTTTCGATTTATATTCAAAAATATTCATCAATATAAAATTAGAATTGCATTGCATAACATTTTATTTTAATTAAAATGAAAGTGGTAGATAATCGCGTCTAGATATGCCATTATCGTTGTTTGTCTATTTCCGAAATCTAAATTATATCATACATTTTAGGTATTCATATATTTTAATTGTATGATTATTAATTAAACTAATTAAATGGTATTCAACGCTCTTTTGCGGTTTTTAATCTGTCTTATAACGTTTCGTATTTTTTTTTGGGAAAAAAACTGAGAAAAACCTTCTGAGTGTTATGAAAAAATAATTACCTAATAAAAAATCTTTTCCGTCATTCGTTGATCTCCATTCGTTCTCAAGAAAAAGTTCTAATAACTTTGTAGGTAATGTTGGCACCAATTTCATCCATGTTAAAACACAATGTTAAAACCATGCGTAAAGCTACAACTATCCGCCTATTTCTTAATTATTATCTACGGGGATGACTTTACGATAAGAGTACGCGAACATTTCCACGAATTGTCCAACAAATATGTACACAACTTAAAATATCGATAAAAAAAACCGACGTGGTTGGAGAAAGTATATAATTGTAAGTGTGTAGTTCATACATTACAACATAAATGAAAAATAAAGCACGAGCTTTATAATAAATTATTAGATAATTACTCATGAGTGATGGTAAATAATAGTAACAAATTGAAATACAATTTTAGAAATTTACTATATTACCAGAACAGAAAATTAATATACGTGATCTTATTTTGAACTTTATTATAGGTACATACATTTATAAATTTATGCTGCTATTAATAAAATATAACTGTTAACAAACTATAGTATAAAAAATAGAAGATTTCTTTTACCTTTAAAGTATCTCGAAATTCACATCGTGCTAATTCAACTCCATGCGTTGGATGATTATGACTTTTTAATATTATTGCAATCGTTTGTGATTTTAATATCTCTCTTCCTCTACAGTTGTCAATACATTTATAATACTCATTGTTTCCACTACATTTATCAATCCTGTGTATACAACTATCTATTACTAATAACTTTTTATCACAGTTTGAATTAATTTTATACCAAGACATATTCTCTTTTAAAATTATACGGTTAGGTTGCTTGTACGAAAAAGGTGACTGCAGACTAAAGAGTATGACTGTGCGTATAAATTAATTTGTAAATTTGCAGATGTATTTTTTTATTGCCACTTCATCAGCGATATTGCTATGGAACGTAATAACAATTTAACCATTAATAATACGTAGACAAAATAAAAACCTGGGCTTTTTCGGCAAAATGGAGTTCAACAAAATAGGATTTGACCAAATGGGATTTTTTATCAAACCGTATAAAATTGGTTTTTTTGTCGGCGAAATGGGACTATACGACTAGTATAGTAACCAAAATTGGGACCCAACTAGTGTAATACCTACCAAACCCAATTCAGATGCAGCCGAATTACAATAATTACATAAATGGACAATGATTAATTATAAACATTGTTGATCACTAATCAGTGAAAGAACAGACAAGGTACTCTTCTAGTATTTGTAATTTGTAAACGATGTATTGATCTAAAAGAATTTTGTCTGTACACTTTTAAGTTTAATTTGTCAGTGGCAAATTTCTATGGATACCCATGATCGTAAAATATATACTTCCAAGTAACTAGGTGCTTACATTATATATTCCAACAGGTAGATAATTAAGTTGTATATTTCATGTGTTCAAATATTATAAGATTTAATTATATATGCTTGAAACAAAACAGTAAATGACCCTCATAAGTCATGACAATGTTTACATGAACGGGCAGCTAGTAAATATATAAAATACCTAGATAGCGAACTCCTATTAATATATCTTATTTTGCAATTGTGTTTGCTCTACCTGTATGTGGTTGACGACTTCAAATTGTTGTCAAGCCAATATACAGAGTTTGCCATCTAGTTATTTTGTATATATATAGTACCTTAGTTATCATCTAAAAATCTAAAAATAGATTTCTTAGAAATAATAATAATACATATTAATATTGCACAACAACGGTTTTTAAGAATAGATTAGGTATGAGATTTAATTATAGATAGGTACTTTAATTCTCGGAAAAGTGTCCCGCGGTCATCGACCTGATGAGGGATGAGAACGAGGCAGTATCCAACGGCCGCTGCCGAGAACCGACCCACGTCAATTCAGACGAAAAATTAAAAGAGGACACAAAATTATTTAGAATAATTTAAATTCACAGTCCTATACTACCTATAGCGATCCCAGTGGCCATTTTTAGTTTAAGTGATTATCAAACACATTTGGTGCGATTTTTTAAATTTTTTATGTACGTATTTTACTACACCATCATACGACATGTATATTATAATATGTTATTTGTTATTTGTTACCAGTTATCTGTTATGCTATATCATTACGTTTATACATTGAATACGGTACGCCGCGTCTATGGCAATAGAAAAAAAACAATACTATAAATCTGAGAACCACTGGTCCCGCTGTTAATATTTGAACTCTACCCCATCGGCCGCCAGCGTTCACTTTTCGCGAGCCC